CCTACCCAAAAGCCCCAGATCATTGTTGGTGCAGCGATCCGGCTCCCTTGTCCACAGGTGCAGAGCTACTAGGGTTGTTCAACACGAGCCTCGGTTTAGGGTTTAGGGTTTAGGGTTTAGGGTTTAGGGTTTAGGGTTTAGGGTGACAACACTCCCCACCACAGGTTCCCGCGGAGCCCGTGGAGGGCGAGGAGGGCGAGTGAGAGCTCACGCCATGAAAGTTTGGCCGTGGTTCTACTGGGCTCCAGAGAGCCTAGCATCCTGTAGGGTTTAGGGTTTAGGGTTTAGGGTTTAGGGTTTAGGGTTTAGGGTTTAGGGTTTAGGGTTTAGGGTTTAGGGTTTAGGGTTTAGGGTTTAGGGTTTAGGGCTGCCCTAAATCTGTTAAGCAGAAGAGCTCATCCTTGACGAGTTTGGGATGCACAGGGTTGCGGGTTCAGGCTTCAAGGTTTGGTAGAACTGTTTGATCTAGTATGTCCTGCGCCACACTCACCTGGCTTCGGGAAGATGGGCGCAGCGGAATACCCAAAACCCCTACACCTACACCCCAAGCCCTGAATCTCCAAGCTCTAGACCCTTAAAACCCTAACCCACAAACCTTAAACCCTAGACCCTAAACCCTAGACCCTAAACCCTTCAAACCCTAAAGGCCAGTGTAAGGTTTGCATGCAAACCCTAAACCCTAAACCCTAACCCCTAACCGCAAATCGGGCCGGCCCTTGCAATAGATTTTCTTATCTTCCCTTCTTGAATAGGGGCGATGAGGATCATGTTAAGATTTATGCGTTCAGAGGGGTTTAAAGGGCCAACTCGGACTAGCCCTTAAACCCTAAACCCTCAACCCCAAACCCTTAAGGGATCCAATTTCAACCCTAAACCCTAAACCCTAAACCCTAAACCCTAAACCCTAAACCCTAAACCCTAAACCCTAAACCCTAAACAAAGTAAGGTTTAGCCCATCCGCGCCAGTCAGTTCCCGAAACCAGACCTGACCGGCTCTTGTCCCTCAAATGTGAGTGGAGATCCCGCCTGCGAGAGACTGACGCGTGCATCGGGAGCCTCTTCAGGAGCTATAGACAGCCTTGAAAACTTTCAAAACCCTGGGTTTAGGTGGCTTAGAGTTTTGAAACCCCAAGCCCCTAAACCTATCTTCCCAATATTACTGGATTTACGTACTGTTCGGTTTGCGGAATGTCCCTTCGTTTGTGGTGCATTCCCTCATATGCTCCATTCGGTTTCCTAGTATCACGTACGGATTATGTGTTAATGCCGGGATCTTGGAAGATTCAGGGACTTTAAGCCCTAAACCCTAAACTCGAGCTGATATGTACGTATATACAAATACGTGTATGTAGATTTTTTGATGTTTGAAACAAATCTTACATACATATGTATGTGTGTAGACGTATGTATACATACATGTGTACGTATATATTTACATGTATAATCTATATATATATATATACATATTTACATATATACATATATATATATACATATATATATATATATACATATACATATACATATACATATATATATATATATACATATACACATCATCTCTCAGTCTTGCGCAGCAGGGAGTGCCGCATGCGTTCAAGGCGCTAATTTGGCCTTCAGGGCGTGTCACCCAGCACGGCCTTGCATCACGGAACGCCGGGGTAGAAGATGCCCTTCAGCCGCACTATGTGTTTAGGGTTTAGGGTTTAGGGTTTAGGGTTTATAAGGTTAAGGGTTTTGGGGTTGGGGGTTGAGGCAGGCGGTAGGTTTGAACATACCCTTTTTTTCGTTTTGATTACCCTCAATCCCCATGTAAGCCTTATAAAGCCATAAACAAGCCATAAACAAGTTCATTTTTATAGCCCCCCCCAAAAAAAAACAATCAATAATAAACCTACGCCGGGAGGGTTGAGGGTTCAGGTGCTCAGGGGGTGGAGCCGAAATTTCTTGCGGAGGGCATTCCAAGGCGTGCTTTGCTCCAGTGGAGCCGCAGCTTGCCCTGCGGATCATTGCTTAGGGCGTTCAGAGGTTCGTAGGGTTTAGGGGGCAGGGGTTTAGGGGTTTCGGGGGCAGGGGTTTAGGGGTTTAGGGGTTTAGGGGTTTAGGGGTTTAGGGGTTTAGGGGTTTAGGGGTTTAGGGGTTTAGGGGTTTAGGGGTTTAGGGGTTTAGGGGTTTAGGGGTTTAGGGGGGTTAGGGGTTTAGGGGTTTAGGGGTTTAGGGGTTTAGGGGTTTAGGGGTTTAGGGGTTTAGGGGTTTAGGGGTTTAGGGGTTTAGGGGTTTAGGGCTTATAGGGTTCAGGGTTCAGGGTTACCCTTTCTAGGTTTTAGAAGCTCGGGTTTTGGGGTCTTAGGGTTTGTGGGGGTCCGTAGAGCTTCAAGGGGCTGAAGCCGCAACCCCTAGACCCCAAACCCCAAACCCCATACCCGAAACCCGAACCCCAACCCCTAACCTCAACCTCAGTCCAAAGGCCCCTTGTGAAGCTGCAGGGTTTTCTCAGGGTTTCCTGGGCCTAGGGCCCAGGTTTTCTGGGCAATCCTGAACCTCAAACCATACCCTGAGGCTCCCTATTAGGGTTTAGGGTTTAGGGTTTAGGGTTTAGGGTTTTGTAGGTGTTCATCATAAAGCCCCTTGCAGGATTCTTCGGCAACCTACAAAAGAAGTAAGTAGGTTTGGGGTTCTTAAGGTGTTTTCTAAGACATAAACCCTGTAGGCGCTTGACTGTGTTTTGCATCTTGCGGTTTAGGGGTTCATGTCAGGCAACTGGTTCCAGGCCACCTATGGAATGCTTTGGCTTGTGGCCGCTTAGGCCTCGGTTAGTGGAGAAGTAAGAAAGGTCCAGAAACCCTTAGTAGTAGAGTAGGTAACCTTTAACCCTTGTGGGGGTACTCTAATCCCTATAAGATCCCAGAGGTTAACCTCTGATTCCCCAGGTTACTGGACAACTAAGAACCTCACGGTAGAAAAGTACCCCAAAACCCTAAACCCTAAACCCTAAACCCTAAACCCTAAACCCTAAACCCTAAAAGTACAGTTGTAGTTGGGGGTATAAGAAGAGGTCCAGAACCTCACTGCAACAAGCTGGCCGCTGCAGATGGTCCCCTTTTTCTGAGGAGCTGCGCTCCGCTGCTGGCAACACTGGACACCGAGCACACCTATTTTGGCCATCCGTTGTGCTACCTCTTAGGGTATTTAGGGTGTTTAGGGTTTAGGGCTAGGGTTTAGGGTTTAGGGCTAGGGTTTAGGGTTTAGGGTTTAGGGTTTAGGGTTTAGGGTTTAGGGTTTAGGGTTTAGGGTTTAGGGTTTAGGATTTAGGGTGTAGGGTTTAGGGTTTAGGGTTTAGGGTTTAGGGTTTAGGGCTAGGATTTCGGTGATACATGCCGGTGTCCTTGCACCAGAGTGGCCACCTTGGCTGCTTTAGAGGATCGGGCTAACATGCCTTTTCCTTGGGGGGCTCAATGAACCCTGACGTATTTAGGGTTTAGGGTTTAGGGTTTACGGTTTAGGGCTAGGGTTTAGGGAAACCCAAGGGTTTCAGGAGCCTTTTGCCCCTAGTAGGGACTAGGACCTAAACCCTAAACCTTTAGGGTTTGGGTTTAGGGTTTGGGCTTTGGATTTAGGGTTTAGGGTTTAGGGTTTAGGTCTAGGGTCTAGGGTCTAGGGTTTAGGAAGGGATAAGAACCTAAACCCTGAACCTGACAAGTGTAGGATTCCAATTCAGGTGTTTAGGGTTTAGGGTTGATTTTGCTTCCCAAGTTGTCGAGACGGGTATACCAAAATTGTTGCCCGTCTCGCCATTCCATGTTCTACTGAAAGCTGAGAAGCGCGCGGCCTTTCAAAACGAGAGGGTTCAGGGTTCAGGCTTTCGGGTGCAGGGTTAAGGGTTTCGGGTTTAGGGTTATAGGGTTATGGGCTTGTAGGGTCTAGAGTTAAGGCTTTCGGGTTTAGGGTGTAGTGTTTTAGGGTTTAGTGAACCCCAAGCCCTTCTGCAGGCCCGATGGTATTGTTGGTTTCCGGGTTTGCGGGTTGAGGAGACCTAGGTGGTGGCTACCAGGACTTAAGAAGCATTCGAGGTTTCCCGCTTAGGATTTAGGGTTTAGGCCCTGAGCCCCATTGTGGACCGCACTCCTAAACCCTAAACCCTAAACCCTAAGCCCTAAACCCTAAACGGGTTGCAGCATTGATGCAGAGAAACCCGGGGTGTGCGCCCTCATGAACCCAGAGGTTCCCGAAAGCCTTATACCCTAAGCCTTAGACTCGAGTCTACTTCGGTCCAGTTAGTCCAATACCAATGTACACCTTCAAATGGGTGGGCACATATATATATATATATACCCTAAACCCTACAGCCTAAACCCTAAACCCTACACCCTAAACCCTAAACCCTAGACCCAAACCCCTAAACAAAGTATACAAGCATATTGATGTATAGTAGACTATAGTATACAGCCCCAGAAGAGTTGTCGCCCAGGCAAGGAGCAAATTGGCGCCGGATGGCAGGTGCCTGGCTTCAGTAAGTGCGATTCTACTACAGTACCCCAAAGGGTTTAGGGTTTGGGGCTTGGGGTTTGGGGTTGTACTTCTTTTTTTATACCTGAGCCCCAAAGGAGGCACTTTAAGGCGCAAGTATACCCTATCTAGGTACATGGACCCTTAGGGTACCAGATCCTCTGCATATGTCTTAGTAGTTACTTGTCTGAGTAAATCAACTAGACGGTGTCGTCTTGTAGCATGTGCTACATGGTACGTTTGCAAGCCCTACCTTGGGCCTAAAACACGCAACATGTCACGAAGTAATTCGCTAAGCCATACGGTGTTGTCTTGTCTGCTCTGCCAAGGCCTCAGAGGTCTTTGGTTCGGTTCTGTTTGCGCTTTAGGGCGCTTCTAGGATGACCCGGTGGCCTCGCAAGAGTGGAACCAAAAAAGCACCTGGGGAAAGTCTTGGCTCAATTTCAGCGAAGAAGGCCCCCCCGATAGCCGGGGGAAACTTGTGGCTCGAAGCCATGGCCCCAATCGAAGCAGAGGACCTGACCTCCGTGGCGGGCGTCTGGGAGAAATGCTTCGGCCAGGATGCTCGCAACTTCACCGTGATAGTGGAGCCATCGGCCAGCGCTAGCAAGGACGAGGAGGGCTCCGAGGGGAAGAGGGCCGAGTTTAAGGTGTGGGCTCCTCTGTTGCTTGGTAGCCCAGTGGTACCCTTTTCCCTTTATTTTGCTTCAAGGTTCCCTTATAAAGTAACCAACCCCCAACAAAGGGTGCCCTTATTATAATATGGTTACCGGGCTACCCAGGTTGTCGCACTGGTCCCCAGTCTTCGAGACGATGCTCCGCTCCGAGAACTACGTGGAGTCCAAGGAAGGGCAGGTTGTCATCCAAGATTTCGCATCCGAGGCCGTGGAGGTCTTCCTCCGGTTCTTGTACTCCGGGGTTGTGAGAGGCTCCCTAGGGCTGCTGGTGCAGGTCGCTGCCATGGCGGATAAGTACCAAGTCGGCAAGCTGCACGCCTTGTGCGTCAACTCCGTGGCAGAGGCGCTCACGCCAGAAGAGGCCTGCGAAGTCTTTGCAGATGCTTCCATGTGGCGCTGCTGCGTGTGAAGGCGCTGGAGCAGATCCTCATCCATCCCGCAGAGGCTTTGGAGACGCGCCCCAACGACCTGAACCCGGAGCTTCTCCAGGAGATCCTGGACTCCGGCCTGCTGTGCATGGAGGACGGGGACCTTCTGAAGCTGCTACGTGGCTGGGGCAAAGGGAAGGAAGGCGACCGGCTGCAGCCGCTCATCGACGCCCGCATCGGGGCAACAGCGCGAAAGCCCGGCCAGCACTCCGAGAGCGTGCTCATCACCTTGTGGCAGCGCTATTGTAATGCCGGGAAGAAGGGCAGCTTCCTCGGCTACTGGGTGGTGGTGACCCTGGGACCCCAGCAGGCGAACATGAGTGGGGAGGACACAAATAGCTTAAATGAAATTGCCCGTGGCTTTGCTCGAGGGCTCTCCGAGGGTTGGGTCAAGTGGGAGCTCCCACGCACGCCGGTGCACCTTATGGGCTTTTCCTTTGACAAGGACATTCCAAGCACGTTGTCCTTCCAGATTTTCTGTTCTGAAGACGGAGGGCCGTGGCACCTCGCGTATTCATCCGACAAGCAAGAGATCAAGGCCGGCACCGTGCTGCCGTGCAAGAAGCCCCCGGGCCTGGTGAAGTGCTTCAAGTTGCAAGTTCTGGCTGGGCAGATCGCTCAGTACGCATACTTGCGCATCCACGGCATTTTGCAAACAGACTGAGGCGCTGCAAGGCCTGCGGTTCAGCTCCATACTTCCAAGGCGATGTTGAGCTGCTTGCACCCGTATTGGCTGCGAGGCTGATGGTGCAACAGGTGCCCTAAGGCTCCAATTAGGGCTCTTATTCTAGGGATTTTGGTCCCAAAGGCCTCCTATTTGCGCTAGTTTGAGCCTAAGGGCCTTTGGCCGTTCAAAGCAAAGCTTCCAGATAGCAGCAGCTTCTAGAAAGACAGCAGCAAAAGCCTGCCACATCTAGTTGCTTCTATGCTAGGTCATGAGACGTGCTTACGGTACCGTTACCCCTAAACCCTAAACCCGAAACCCTAAACCCTAAACCCTATTTAAACCTAAACCCTAGACCCTTGACATCCTAAGCCCTCAGCAGCTCAGCCGCCTATGCCCTTGAGTCCTTGAGTGACATTGGCCGCGAGCTTGCGCAAAAATGCTGGCAAGTGGAGCATGGCCAGGTCTTTGAAGCGGGGTCAGAATCAGCATGCTCAAGGGGTTTAGGGTTTAGGGTTTTAGGGTTTAGGGTTTCAGGGTTTAGGGTTTGGGGTTTAGGGTTTAGGGTTTTAGGGTTTTAGGGTTTGGGGTTGTCAAATGGCATGGTGCATTTCAGAGTCACGTGTTTTGGGCTCATGTGGTATTGCATACACACAGTTTTGGATTATGTTTCCGGTCAGCCGAATAAAGTTTAGCTGAGGGCGGAGCAGGAGCTTCAGAGAATACTGCCGTCATAGACACTGAAGCACGACCCAAGCCATAAAACTGTACACAAGCTCAGTGGGGACACCTCTTCTAGGGAAAGTCCCACTAAACCCTAAACCCTAAACCCTAAACCCTAAACCCTAAACCCTAAACCCTAAACCCTAAACCCTTAAACCCTAAAGAAGTCCATGTTGCTCACCGCCAGGGACCAAGTGGCCACGTTGGCCCTGCATCTCGGAACCCCACTCGTCACGCCTGGTACTGGTCAGGGTTCATGAGGGGTTTAGGGTTCAGGGTTTAGGGTTTAGGGTTTAGGGTTTAGGGTTTAGGGTTCAGGGTTTAGGGTTTAGGGTTCAGGGTTTAGGGTCTAGGGTTTAAGGGCAATCAAGCATGTTTGTAGGTAACAACCTTAGCGTGGCAATTGCCCATGGCTACCAAGGGAGATGATACAGCATAATACAGTACTACCGCGCATCTGGGTGTACTGCGAGAAGCCTACACTGGCACTAGCTCCCAGAGCGTCCAAGTACGCTTTCGCAGCTCCGGACGGAAAAAAGCACTACGGTTTCGGGCTGAGGGTTCTTGGGGTGTCAGAAGCTGCCCAGGCTCCTCCCAGAGGGAGTCTAGGGTTTAGGGTTTAGGGTTTAGGGTGTAGCATCGACAAGAACCAGAGACCCAAAGAGCTCGTCCCTAAGCAGCTGATGGAGGCTTCCGTGTGCGGATGTACGATGGGTTCAGGGTTTAACGTTCTGCCTTGAAGCACTTCGCCACATCATATCCCTAAACCCTCAACCCTAAACCCTAAGCTTTGGCCCTAAAACCTAAAGTCTAACGCCTAACGCGAAGACATGACGTGCCAGACACCTGTGCTAAGCCGCTGACCCCATATACCAAAAGAAGCGTGAAGAGCCGCCATTTGCCAGACCCCCACGCAAATTCGGATGGACTACGTAGCAGGCTTATAAGTTTAAGGTTTAGGGTTTAGGGTTAGGGTTTAGGGTTTAGGGTCTAGGGCTTAGGGTTGACAACTTCTTAAAAGCTCGAGACTCAGGGGTTAGTTATGGGCGCGTTCTGCAACAAGTCCAGCTGCACCATAACTTTCAGAGCCCTTGAACCTTGAACCCAAGGGTCATATAATCATGCGCAAGAGTCTGAAGGACACTGCGCATGCTTTGGCAAGCATTGAAACCCAAAGAAAGATCCTTAGCCCTTATCTTAGACCCTCAACTGTTTGTCTCCTACAGGACATTTATGGTGGCAAGCCCAGTTCAGGTTGTGCAACCTGCCTAGTTAAGCTTTGCCTCATGCCAAACCCTCCTCCCTCAACCACACCTTCGCATCTGGGCTTCTTTAAGCCCTGAACCCTAAACCCCAAACCCTAAACCCTAAACCCCAAACCCCAAACCCTAAACCCGAAACCCTAAACCCTAAACCCTATAAACCCTAAACCCTAAACCCTAAACCCCACAAACCCCTCGACATCTGGGCTTCTTGCCTCAAGAGCTCGGGGCTCCCGCGCGGAAATGGAGGGCGTCCGCAGCCGGGGTGCCATCATGCCGTGGTTTGCCCCTGGGAATGCGTTTAGGGTTTGGGGTTTAGGGTTTAGGGTTTAGGGTTTGGGGTTTAGGGTTTGGGGTTTAGGGTTTAGGGTTTGGGGTTTAGGGTTTAGGGTTTGGGGTTTAGGGTTTAGGGTTTAGGGTTCAGGGTTTGGGGTTTAGGGTTTAGGGTTTATGGGTTAGGGCCTGCAGGGTTGAGGTGTAGGGATTAGTGATGCCCCAACCCGCCCAAAACTCCCAAAGCCTCAACAGCTAAACCTAAAACCCTTATATACCCCCAAAGCCCCAAACCCCCCCCTAAGCCTTGAAGTGCAGGGTTGTCTCTGGGGTTTTCGGGTGTAGGGCGTATAGGGTTGGACAGGGACTTGGGGTGTATCGCTTAGGGTGTACAAGTTATCACCCTAAACCCTAAACCCTAAACCCTAAACCCTAAACCCTAAACCCTAAACCCTAAACCCTAAACCCTAAACCCTAAACCCTAAAACCCAAACACTTTAGGGTGTAGAGTGCTGAGTTGGGTTTTGCAGGGCTCATGGCTTTTTTTTCATGGGGTCTAGAGGGAGCTTAGGTGGCCTCATTTCAAGTGTTAGGGTGTTGGGGTTCAAAGTTTAGGGTTTGGGGTTTGGGGTTTTGGGGTTTAGGGCCAACAGGGTTGAGGTGTAGGGATTAGTGCTGCCCCAACCCCCCAAAAACTCCCAAAGCCTTGAAAGCTAAACCTGAAGCCCTCAACCCCTACAACCCCAAACCCCCCTGAAGCCTAGAAGTTCAGGGTTGTCTCGGGTGTAGGGTGTATAGGGTTAGACAGGGATTTGGGGTGTAGGGTTTGTATAGGTTATCAGACTTTAGGGTGTAGAGTCTTGGGCTTAATTAGGTCCTTTAAGCTTTAGGGTTTAAATGGCTTAGGGCGAATTGGGGCTTTTGGGCTTTTCAGGGCTCATGGCCAGATTTTCCCTGGGGATCTAGAGGGAGCTTCATTTCAAGTCCAACTCAGCACCTGCATTGACTTCAGGGTTAGGGGTCTGGGAAACCCTAAACCCTAAACCCTAAACTCTAAACCCTAAATGCTAAACTTTAAGCTTTAAACCCTAAACCCTAAACCCTAAAGCCTAAAGCCTAAAGCCTAAAGCCTAAAGCCTAAAGCCTAAAGCCCAAAGCCTAAAGCCTATAGCCTAAAGCCTAAAGCCTAAACCCTTTCCAGGTTTCAAAGGGTATGAGCTTGAATGCCCCCACCCCCCCCAGACCGCATGCCGGAAGCGTGGCGGATCCAAGCCTTGAATGTGACATGCTAGAGTGTAAGGTGCAAGTTGTGGTTTAGGGTTTAGGGTTCAGGGTTTAGGGTTCAGGGTTTTTAGGGTTTTTAAGGGTTTAGTGTACTTATGGTTTAGGGTTTGGGGTTCTGCGTTTAGGGTTCAGGGTTTAGCCGTTTGGGCCAGTTTTGCACACGGGCTGTACGACATCAGCAGCTCAACCCCCCGCAATGAGCCTACGAGCCTACAGAGCTTCAGGGTTTGGGGATTGAGGGTTTTAGAGATTTCAGGGTTGGCGTATAGGGTTGAGAGCTTGAGGGGTTATAACCCTAAAACCTAAACCTTAAACCCGAAACCCCAAACCCTAAACCCCAACGCCTAAACCTGAAACGGTTTAGGTTGGGAGCGGCCTGAATAAGCTGCGAGCTGTGAGGTACAACAACGTCCATAACTGGCTCGCTGCAGCTTCCTGGTGCAGAACAGTAGACCAGCGTTTTACTGGAGGGAGGGCGTCTAGGGTTTAGAGTTTAGACTGGCTGTTTCTTAGTAGGGGATGAGGGAATGGGGGCCCTTTCTAATCCCTTAAAGGGTTTTGCTAGGGCCCTCGTTCCCTCATTCCCTAGGGGGGGTCCAACCTGGGGGCCGGAGGTCCTGTAAACCCCAACAGGTTTAGAGTTTAGGGTTTAGGGTTTAGGGTTTAGGGTTTAGGGTTTAGGGTTTAGGGTTGTGGGGTTTAGGGATGATGCATGGAGTACGGCTTCTCACCCAAGCTCATACAACCCGAAAGCCCGGCCGAGCCGTGAGAATGGGTTTTTTTCGGGGTTTGGGTCAAGGGCTTTGTCTTCATCGGATTCAGGGGGGGTGTAAGAGCAAGTCTCATTTTTTCGAGTTATGAGATAGCATGTTGGAAGAACGACCTTGAGTTCGTAGGTTTCAAGAGATGTTCAGGTTACAAGTTCCGACGTCGTAGGTCGTAGGGATTACTGAAAGGTTTCAAGCTTTGGTCAGAAGACTTCGGGGTATCCTAAGCCCCTGAACCCTTCAACCCTGGCGAGTAACAAGAGCAGCACTCAACCCAGATCCAAAACCCCCCTAAATCCTAAGCCCTGAAGGCAAGGGATCAGAAAAACCCTAAACCCTAAACCCTAAACCCTAAACCCTAAACCCTAAACCCTAAACCCTAAACCCCTAGGAAGGAGTAAGCTTTCAACCCCCCGTCTCCCTCAACCCCAGAACCCAGGGCCGTTTGAGGCTTAGGGTTTAGGGTTTGATTTAGAGTTTCTGGGCATCATTTGGGGTTTCAGGACTTTAGGGGTTTTAGGATGTGTTTCAGAAGTCCAACTAGATATCAAGTATCCCTAAACCCTAAACCCTAAGGCCCTAAGACACAAGTTTTCCATAAACAGAACCCCTGAAACTGTAAGTTCGTTCTTTGCGAGTGCGGCTGCGACCCTGCCCAGGATGTTTCTGGCCGATGACTTTGCGGTGCAGA